TCGTCTTGTTCCTTGTTCTGGACATTGGACAGTTTTGGGCCAGGTATTAAAATTACCGTTCAATTTTGACATTTCTGTTTGTGCATTTCACCATTTCATATGACTATGAGGAGTGTCTAGTGATGATCAAATAATCTGTATGCATGCTGTGAGTTTATGACTTTTTGTGTTTTTAATCTTTTCTCACTCTTTCTGGCAGAGCTATGGAGGTTTTTGTGCCATCACCATTTGAGTTTTGCACCACAAGGATTGAAACAAGTGCTTCTGACTGGAGGAATACCTCCAATTGGAGATGGGTGCACTGCAGATACTGTTTATGGAGCTTGCTTTGAGCAGGTTGCTCGTCAGAATGAAAAATACTACAAGAGAAATCCTCAGGATATTGAAGTTGTTTGTGAAGTTGTAAACTATTTGGCAGAATCTGAAGGGGGTGGGGTGAGGCTTGGCTGCATTTGATCCTGGTTCGTTACTCAAAGCTGATATTTTAGCTAAATCTTTTTAATGTAAACTTCTTTTTGTGCAGGTTCCTCTTCCATCTGGGGGCATCTTGAACCCAAGGGGGCTGCAACTTCTTGGTCTTTCTGGTTTAGTCTAGTGCAGGTTTTGAACGCCTTCATTATCTGTAAGCATCATTATTATGCACCCTTTTTTTTTTTTCTACAAGCTCAGATTTCAGTGTTATGTCACTGCATCCGCATCTTTTTGTAATCTCTTAAAAACAACTGTAGGTTTGAGAGGGTCTGGGATCCTATAATAGTCCCAGGAGCACCTAAGAAGATTAGTTTCTTCTTCTTGAATGCTGTAAGGTACTTTTTAGTTTCTTATTTATATTTTGGAAGTTCAAGTCACATTCTTGGGATTAATCTTGATTCATTTTGTTTGAACAGTTTGACAATTGGTTGGGTTTTGATTCAAACCCACTCTATGCTCTTATCCACGAGTCAATAGACTGTCAGGTAGATTATGCTGCTTATTCTATTCCATTTGCTTGATGAGCAACATTTTGCTGCATACTTTACTTACCTTAAAAAAGGAAGGAAAAAAAATAGGTTAAGTGCTAATTTTGGTTTCTCAACTTAAGGTTTTCCATAATTTTCATCCTTTAACTTTTTTTTTGCACTTTTTTGGTCCCTTAACTACAAAAAATGTATTTTTTTAGTTTTCTGTTAATTAATCCATTAAGTCTATCTAAATCTGCATATTTTTAGTCTCTCAATTTAAAATTGAAGAACAAAAAATGTGCATATATTAGAAGTTGAGGGACTAAAAATGTGCGGATTTAGATAGATTTAACGGATTAACTGAATGAAAGATTAAAAACGTGCATTTTTCACGGTTAAGGGATCAAAAGAAGTGAAAAAAAAAAGTTGAAGGACGAAAATTGTATAAAACTTTAAAGTTGAGGGATCAAAATTGACATTTAACCAAAAAAATAATATGTGATTGAACAGGTTTTACTGTGGCCAAATCCGAACAATACCATTAGGACTCATATCTCAGTTGCAATATTCCACTCACATGCATATATATGATTTGATTTTTGAGTTATTTGTCGTTTCTTGATTCTATAAAGGGTGCTTCATCTCGGTGGTCTGCTCAACGACTGAGGGCTAAATATGGGAACAAGTTTGATGCAATGAAGGCTGCAACCTGCAGGTGAAGGACGCCCTGATTCTTGAAGGTACCTGTCGCAGCAGCTATTTATTTCGAGGATATGTATGTTAATTTCAACCTGGTCATGCAAACAGTTAGTGAGATAGCTGGAATTAGGACATGGATAACCAATGAATACATGCATTCTGGGCTGCGTGATGCTGGAGTACAGGTTTTCGATCACTCGATGGGTATGCTAAATGGAAAACGGCCATTGTTCTGATTTCCACTGGAAGAAACCCTTATCTTGTCATTTTTTAGGTCTAATTTTTTTGTGCCAATTTTCCTGAGCTTTTCTTTGAAAAAGCAAAAACAATGTCCTGGCAACTCTCATGATGGATTTAAATTTTACAATTAATGTTTT